TGAGAAGAGAAACTATGGAAAAACTGGAGCGAAATTTGAATGTCTGGGTGGGTTTGGTGGGTAGGATATTCATGTGTTTTTAAAAGGAGGCTGTCGCACTTTAGCCCCACTCCTCATTCAGAGCTCACAGTCTGCTCCTTGTCGTGTCCTGGTTCTAGATTGCCCGCCCCTTCCTGCCTCTTATTCATGCACTAAGACAAAGAGGGTGGAGACTCGCAGTAGTGTACCACTCATTGCAAGCTCGTCAGTTTACTTTTCCTCTTTCTCTCCCTCCCGCTCTCTCTTCCTGGCTGCCCCGCTGTGCTGATGCTGCTCCAGTCTTCCTGCCCTCCCGCCCGCTGATCGCCTGCCTGCCCTTCTTCTCTCGACTGGGACTACAGAGGACTCCACAACCAACACTACCTGGCCTCGGATTAAGTGAGAAACACGTCTGAGCCTGGTAAGTTGCTCAATTCCTGAACCAACATGAGTCAAGTGAATGACTTTGGCTCACGTGTCAAACGGTTCACTTTTTAACACTCAAAACTTTTGGTGTTGGATTTAAGTTTTGTATAAAAACAATTTCCTCTTTTAGGAAACTTCACCCAGTGGGATTTGGGATTAACATTGTCTTGTGTTTTTTCCTTTTTAACTAACTATTTTTGTGTTAACTTTTTTATTTTTTTTATTTTCCATGTATGATTCATTGGGCTGCCCTCTTATGGAAAGCCCCCTCCCTTTTTACAGTACAGTGTCATAGTTAAAGTGAACAAGCCACTTTGTCAGCATTTCCAGAGTGCAGAGGATAGTATAGGGTAGTTAACAGCACAACGGTCTTTGTTTGGTGAACTCATTTTACAGTAATGGGGAAGTTTTGGACTTCTGACCCCTTTCCACAGTAGCAACTGATCAGCTGATCTAAAATGACTGTGATGCAGGCTTTGATTGGAAACAGAAATGTTTGTTCAGTGATATTCTGGGCCGCTGTGTCCACAGCTACAGTTGCTGTTGTTGAAATGGCTTATTGTTGCTAACCATCTTCTTGTGACTGTTGAGATTATAATCTTTGTTACTGCCATAAATTAAGTCATGATTTTTATATTAGACCATTACAGACTGAAAATGAGGTTGGTCACAATATTATGTAACATTCTATTTAAGAAAAATGTATGCTCTTTAATCACACATGTGACATTTGTTCTCATGTGACCTTGCATACCTCCAGTAGGAATGACCTGGTGTAATACCGTTAACTTCACCTCACTGTAGTTGATGTCAAACACTAGTTTCCGTTGACCTAGCCGGGGGACTACCTGGCGACTTTAACTGTTCAGCATTTTTCCTCAGAACAAGATACCTTGATGTTTGCACTCAGCACAGAAATGATGGTGCATTTGTTGAACCAAAACCTACAACATCGGTTCAATAACAACCACAGGTTTTTAAGTAAGAGTTTTCTGAAATGTCATCTATTTGTTAAAACAAGAGAAATTGTTATTTTTAACCCCCATTTACAACATGGACAACTGAGTGGCACTGTCAAAGTTGGTCATTACCACATGAAAAAGGACAAAAAGATTGGAGTTGCCTCATGAACAGGATGGAAACCCCAACATGTATTTGTCATCCCCACTACTTCTATGAGCAAAATAAATTGTGAATATTGTACTGTGGTTTTGCTCAGGTGTTGGCTCAAGGTGGGCTCCCAAGGCAGGGAAACCACTAAACTAGTGTTATTGATTGTGCACTAAACAATACTTCTCAATGTATCAGAGGACACGCCCTACATGTCCTTGGCTTTTTACATTTACACATGATATGGTTGAGCCCTTGTGTCAACAGAGCTAATGGTGTGTTCATACTGTACAATACTTTGAATCTGTTACAAGGAAAATATATTTATATTTTGAATATGTCGTAAAATGTTTTTTTGCCGACTGTGCCCACATTGTTCTGTGATGGTTTTGTGTAGAATGTGGTAGGGTATTGTCCTGACCTCTATCTCCCACACAAAGTGTTGCTTTACAAGGAGAATGCCCTCCCCTTTCCATGTGGCCCCTCCCTTCTGATATCAGGCCATGTCGGATGAGTGGCTGTGGAGTTGGCAAAGTATCCTGGGATTTTATGGGAGTGTTTGTTTGGTGAGGGATGAGCCCAGCTGTAATCTCATTCCAATCCTTCTGACTTCTACTAAATTTGCAGATACCACCAGTGCCTCCTTGAACAACAGAGCACGTGTGACTTCAACAAATTTGAGATTTGACCATATCTGTGTGTAACCCTTTCTTGGTGGTAGTGTATGAATTGCAGTTTCATCAGGAATGAGGAGTCCTGGAGATGTTGAGGTTAAATCCAAAAGTGACAGCTGTGTTTTTGTTTGTTTCTTGCAGATAACTGGGCTTTAGTAATCAAGTGGCAAACATGCTTCAGGGCATTCAGGACTTGGGCTCACAAGCCATGGATCTCTACAACCACCTCGTTGCTGGAGTCGGCAAGTGCTTTACCAATCCTAAAGAATAAAAAGAAATTGAATTTGCTGTATTAAGAATATTATTTTGAATCTCCCCAGATCCACGGATTAAATCATATCTACTCATGCAGAGTCCAGTTCCCATGACAATAATTTTAATGTGCTACCTGTTCTTTGTACTGTACCTGGGACCTCGCATAATGGCCAACCGAAAGCCCTTTCAGCTCAAAGAAGCCATGATAGTCTATAACTTCATACTTGTGGGCCTCTCTATATATATCGTATATGAGGTAAGGATCTGATTAAATTGGATAAGTAATTGTGACATACACCAAACTAACTGCTCTTGACTTCATAGTTTATGATGTCTGGTTGGGCTACAACTTATACATGGAGATGTGATGCAATTGATACCTCCAACAGCCCTCAAGCACTAAGGGTAAGAATTTATTGGTTTCTTAAATATGTGCATATTTTGTGGGTATAACTTTTTTTCTTTTACATAATTCTAAAATACACTTGCAGATGGTCCAAGTAGCATGGCTTTTCTGGTTTTCCAAGATTATTGAACTCATTGACACAGTGAGTTCATACATTTTTGCCAAATATGATCATCTCAGTAATGATGGCATTTGATTAAATATCACATTTTATCTATTTCAGATCTTCTTTGTATTGAGGAAAAAGCAGGGACAGATTACTTTCCTCCACATATTCCACCACTCCTTCATGCCATGGACCTGGTGGTGGGGTGTGGGCTATGCTCCTGGTAAGTACTCATTAACTTTCTCTAGATAACCAGTTAAATTAATCATTACCAGTGATCTCTTTGCACGCTTCTTGTACAAATCAAACATTTATAATCCATCAATAGCAAGTTTAAGTTTTTAATAGAAAAGCAAATAGTTGTATCTTTAGAATCAGAATCAGTTGTATTTCCATTATAAGTGAACAAAAATACTAGAAAACTTGCTCCGAGCTCATGGTTAAAGAAAGAAAGAATAATAATATAAACTACGATCAAATAAAAATATGGGCATGCATTAAGATAAGGTAAAAAATCAACATTAAAATACAACAAACATGCATGGGCAAAACAATGTGATAACAGTGTGTTTTGTTAAACCAGGTGGAATGGGATCCTTCCATGCCATGGTCAACTCTTCTGTGCACGTTATCATGTATTTCTACTATGGGCTGGCTGCTGCTGGACCTCGTTTCCAAAAGTTTTTGTGGTGGAAGAAGTACATGACTGCGATTCAGTTGGTATGTATCTGTGTGTATAATTTGACCTGCAATGTCATGAGGCTCAGCAGTAACTGTAAGTGTTTTGTATTTGTGCCACAGACTCAGTTTGTGCTGGTCTCACTTCACGCCACACAGTGGTACTTCATGAACAGCTGTAACTACCAGTTCCCCATCATTATCCACCTCATCTGGATGTATGGCACCTTCTTCTTTGTACTTTTCTCTAACTTCTGGATCCAGGCTTATGTGAAGGGTAAGCGCCTGCCCAAACAGGCCATTAAGGCACAGAATGGCACAGTGCTTCACGCCAACGGCAAACACCACGAAAACGGCACAAAATGCTATGGCAACAGCACCAGCAATGGCAACAGTCTGACTCATGAAAACGGTACCTGCAATGGCTCTGCTCATTATGAGAATGGCTCTGCTCACATGGGCAAAATGAAGAAGGCATAGGATCACTGGACAGAAACTCTCAAAACAAATGACTGCAAGAATCTAACAAAAGAAAGGATCCCAAAGAATATTTTGGCAATGTTTCTGTTAATTTTAAATGTTAAAACGTGGGGAAATGACGTGGTCGATGACTTCCACAGTTGGGGTCCCACATGTGGTTGGGCTGTGTTTTAGTCGGGAAACCACACAAGGAACACGATAAATGAAGAGAAGATGTTTTTATTTAATATTTTCTTCACTGATATTGAAACAGCCCTTAGTTCAGTCTCACACTGGTGGCCTTACTTTCACTACTTATCCCCCCCATGTCTTCCTGACCCCCTGTGGACAGATGACTGTACAGTTTATATAAAACTTGAAAATACTTTTTGTAAATAATTTTAAGCAAGCAAAAGACTAATTGTGTTGGTATGCTTTTTTGAATGTTGTATATTTAATTAAAATGCCAATAAATTCAATTTTGCATAATTCTTTTATATTTGATTACTTGATAGTATTTCACGCATGCTGTAGACTTAGATTTGTAGAGTATTTGCCATTGTGCCCAAGAAAAACATTGTGCTTTGTGTAAAAAGAAGTATTTGCAAGCTATGTCAAGCATGTAGGAAGAGTAGGAGGAAAACAAGAGGCCCATTCTCCTTTGTGTAAAACAGTGAGAGGCTGAGGGAATGTGTGACAACAGATCTACACCCTCTCGTCACCGCTCATTACATCCAAGGTCAAGGAGGACAGTCAAATGAGTATGATCCCTTAATCAAAACCCTGGGACATTGATATTGTTGAGTATTAGATCTTTTACACGAATGCAACAAAGCTGTTATTATGGAGAAACTTTACACAACTCCTGTACTTGTTATAATATTTTAATGAAATGAACTTCATTGAGTTACTTCATTAGTTTTTTAATTTCAAGCTGAGAATGCATCGCAGAAGCAGTCAGTAAAATACATCCAGTAAGAAAACATTCATAAGCATTCGGTCAGTGTGCGTTAAATTAGCTACAAATCTGCATACAGTACTTCAAAGTCATTCACTTTTCTCTTTGCATGTAGTTCGAGGTGTTCCCTCATTAAAGGTTTTACACATTGTGTTATCAATGATCAGCTATGTATGAGGTCGTCTACAGTGCAGTGCCCTGATCTAAAGGCCTGTTTAGTGTCATGCATACCCTGATTGTCAAAGGGCAGAGTGGTCTCAGAAAACCACAGTGTTGTAATGTGGATGAAAAGGGCCAAACCATCAGATGTGGTCAGTCTTCCATTTAAATGCGCTGCTTTTATTGCCCTGAAACCATATGGCAGCTCAAATGTTGTGGTTAGGAAGACATAATGCAACTCTTAAGTGACATTTTCAAGTATGTAAAAAATAAGCTCCATGACTATAGACTCGTCGCTTCTTTTACGCCCCCTACTGTGTATAACTGGAATAAGCACACTATCCAGTGCATTGAGGTACTGAGCTGGGAGTGGCTGTCCATTGCTCCCAGCCACAAATCCCACCTGAAATGACAAAACACACCACTAATTAGACTGAATGCAGTTGCAGCTTACTAATTCTCTTCACTATAAACACAGTCTTATTGTTGGGTTTCAGATTACATCATGACATTCTATTGGCCAACAGTGTTTAATATTTAAATAAGTGGAGATTTTAAGATGTTAAACAGTATACAGTTTGTTATTACATTACATGATTGGCACAACTGGCCAGTAACACAGTTTTTTTACCATTCAAACCCAAGCTCTACAGTCTATAGGGAACTCTAGCTCTTGGGAGTATGATTACAATCTATAATTTCAAAACAACCAATACAGATGAGTCATATTAATCCAAAAGATAACAACACCGGTAACAACAGTAGTAAATGTAAGAAGTTACTGACCTCATGAGGGTCAAAGGTCACGCGTAGCCCTAGTTTGGCCATGCCATCTTCTTTGAGCAGTTTCAGGTGTGGACACAGCGCCAAACAAAATGCTCTGGCTATTCGCTCCGTTAGCCGATTTTGTTCTGCAGTTTCTGGCATGTCTCCTTTACCATGATCTCCCCTTTGTAAATAAAAAACCTAAAATTGCACACAAAAAATTTAAAGCATACTTATGAATTTTTTATTATTTTATTTCTTAGCATCACTCTTACTTCTGTCCACCGGATAATTTTTCCATTCTCTTTGTACTCAGACTTCTGAAACAATTTCTTACTATTAATGGACTCCATAGATTTCCCATCAATTGGACTTATAACGCTGCAGGGAAATGGGATTTGAGGCGTATTAGAAAACAAGATTGATGGTGACAAAGAGTTTAAAGTCTCTAAACTAACCTGCTAATAACACAACCTTTAATACCTATACTACTCTTACACTCACCCCTTATTGATTCTGCATTTTTCCTCCACCCACTGTACACAAACAAGCTCCTGGCTCTCTGACTGGTCGAGCTTTCCACAGGTGACAGTGTAGTCTTTCATCTCCCGTAGCGACCGCCTCAGTTCTGCCATAGTCTCCACGGTGATCTGCACCATGAGGCCATCTGGGGCAGAGGGGAGGACAGCAAAATAGAAACAGGACACAAGCACAGACAAACGCTGAGGTAGACAAGCCTGGACAAACAGTCATTTAAATGTACAAACACACATACACATAGAAATGAACTCTGAATCAATCAAGCAACAATGGAATTACTAAAAATATGATGTACAGTACTTGTTGGCCTTTGGCTAAGTCAACATGAACCATATTTGTGTATCTATATGCAAAACGTCCTACCTTCTACAATACTGGACTTGGCAAGGTATCCTGCAGAGGCTTTTAGGGCACTGCTGAAGATGAAGAAACATGATCCAGTGACTGTAAAGAAGTGGAACACACGTTATGTAATCGTTATAATGTTGGTATCATGATTTTAATTATTCTACATAAGCATCTATGAGTCCAATGTTAATTTATTAATATTTTTAAATGTCATCGGTAGGCAAGCTTGCTTATTACTTAGGGTTAGTGTTAGGTTGAAAATAACAAGACCAGTACATTTTCTGAACAATGTTTAATTGCCCAGCGGACAATAAAATATGTTTCTTTAAGCACAAAAAGCTGAATGCTTCTGTAGTAATTAAGTAGTCTACTGTCTTGATCCCCATTCATAAAATGAACTTGAGTACTTTAATTACATAATAACTTGTGTTAATATGTCCGTGATACTACGTTTGTGTTTATATTGGTTAGTATAATAAAATCCATGTAAGATTTTGTATGAGGTAATAAAAGTAGGCTTCTTGTAATCTTTTTCAGTAATTTTTAATAGTTAATATTTTGTTTGCTTTGCTTTACTAGGTCAATAGTAGGCCTACTTACAACATGAGATATTTTGCGTTCCACCCATGTAGTGTGTATATAAGGACATATTCTCCTACAGTTAATTTTAATAACGTCATATACTGACATCTAGTGGTGAATTTGGTAACTGCAATATTCACAACATCACAAACAACTGAATCTCTACTGCCCTTGATTTCCATGACTTCAGCGTTTTATTTCTGCCTCACCTGCATGCTCATCACTAAATAAAACTACCATATATCATTGTGAAGCACCAAGCAGCCTACCTTTGCGTGGCTGATTGTGAATGCTGATTGCCTGGGTTTGGTACTGGCCATCGTCCCCCTGCACGCAGATAAGGTGAGAGTCTGCGCCCTCATTAAAACACGCCCCAATGGCCAGCACATGTTCGTTAGATTTTGTTAGAGCCCTCATCATCTGAAAAAGGAAAAAAGTATAATTATTATAATGAGAAATGTACATAAAATCATTTACCATCCATGGCAGGGCACCTCATTATAGCCGGTGGTGGGTATCTTAATACATGTCCTCTGAGCTTCGAGATCCACAGTGAGGCCCGGTACTGTTGGAAGGCTGTAACGATAATTTCTAAAGTCCTAAACAAAGACAAAAGAGTGATAATGATGCACAGTAACTTTTAGGGTTTAATACAATGCCTTTTATTTCGAAAGTCCGGCAATTTTGTCATAAAAAACTCAATAAATAAATGCATAATCTAAACAGTAGAAACTAGCAAATGGAGCCTACATATTAAAATGTAAGACTTAAGATGCTAGAGAATAAAAGGAGAATAAATCTCCACTATCACACTTTAATCACACTTAAAAAATAAAAATGTTCTATTGTGTTCAAAACATAATACAAAATATTTATTGTTTTGCAGCATATTTGTAGATATTATAGATATCCGGGTATATATTTTCTATATGAGTGCATGACACCTATTTTAAATTGTTCAATAAGATAAAATAAGATAAAATGTCATACTTACAACTAACAGTCTCATTATAGTGCGACCAATCTCCCCAAACAAAGGTTTCCTAAATCTCACACTGTACAAAGGACATGGGTAAACTGAGAAATAAAACAAAACCAATTATTACAAAACCAGAGCCAAGAATCAATACACAAATCCATGAGCTGTTTCTGACATCTGTACTCTGCCCCCAAACGCAGCATGAGGCGCAGAGGAAAGGCTTTGGCCCAAGCCACCTCTGCGCGGTGTACCAGCAGGCCGAAGAGGTAAGGCTGGTTGGGCAGAGGTAGTCCCTGGAGCGACTGGTGCGTGGCACGGACGTAGAGAAGGCCTGCGTGGTCTGTACTGCCCAAAAAAGTGCTCCCAAACAGGGACAGGGACAAGTGCTTCACCACCTTTCCTACGGACACACAAAGAAAAGAGCCGGACATACATACATACATACTCAACTGAGAACTAAAATAAAGGTGTACGCCAGTGGTTTGTTTGTTGCTTTAGACTTTGAGTACCCCTTATATTGTTTCTTTTGTAAGTATAAATCTCTATATTGCCAATTATAGCTATTATAGGAAAAGTAGGGTGCTTCGCTGGTTCATAAATATAGATAAATCACAGTACAGCTCTTTTGAGGGTTAAGATCAAATCTTAACAATTACCATAAATCCTTTATTGCATAAGGTGTCCTGGACTTTTAATATAATCAGCTGGTGTTTGTTGTTTCTACCTTGCTCTTTTTTCATGACTAAGTCAGGGCCATATTTTTACCTCAGATTTAGCATTTTTAAAAACAAATATGTTTTATTTTTTCACAGTATAAAAGCAGGTTCACAAGGTACGTACTTGGATGTCACATATCCTTTTGCTCGACTGCCCTTTTGGCCTTGACTTGAAATAGCCGATTGACTGAAGATCAATACTTCATGGCTCAATTGATGTCTTCATCATCTCCAACCATTGACATATAGTTCATACTATATGGCAGTGAATATAGCGTATAAATATGTATGTATATAGCTGGTACTCTTCTCTAACCTGTGAGGCTGTCCCGGTACAACTGGATGAAGTGGCTGAAGATGTCTTTGGGGAAAGTCTTCTCTTCAGGGGAACACTGCAGTAGCACCACCACCTCGTCCTGCCCCACGGCATGCAGGCCCTTTGTGGTTACGCACCAGCACCGCCGGTTCACATCTGGACAAGGTCATCCAGACAAAATGGATGTATATACAGTAGGTTCAAATCGTAGACATATAATTACTATGGGGTTAAAATCATTAGGTGATTTGAGAGATTATTTTTGAATGCTCATAAAGTGACTTACAATTGACCAGTTTGACCATAGCAAGAAGATTAGCATTGAGCACAAACACCAGTGGTTTTGGTCTGCCACTCTCCAGCTCCTGAATGAGTAGTGTCTCAGAGGGCTCCTCCACAGTGTAATCTGAAGCATAATTATCCAACTGTAATTTGTCATTCATACAAATTGTTCTGTTTAAGATAACTTCACAATATAATATCACAATATAGAATTTTGTGTTATTTATTATTATGTATTTATAATACATTTAAAAAAAAAGATAACTTCACTTTCCTTACCTCCTTTGACACCAGTAGATGTCAGGATAGGTGGAAGACCATTCAAGGGGATGAGGTTGACCGAGCAGCCCACCAAAGCTGCCGTGCCCCAGCCATACGAACTACAAGCCTCCTTAAAAAGGGAAGCCAGTGACTGATCATGTTTCAACTACAAATTACCATGCATGTTCAGACTTACGCTAGATGCTGTCCCAGGAGTCCTTGAGGCTCTCCTAAACTGTGGAGAGCTGACAGGGCTTTT